TATATATATAAAATAATGAAAAATTGAAATAGTTGATTTTAAAATTTCAATTTAAAAAATTATCACAATGGCATGTTAAAGTTTATGCACAAGTATGTTTGTTTTCTCTCTTTCAAATTAACACAAAAAAAAAAGAAAATTTAAACCCAAAAAAATATTAAATCCAAAACACACAAAAAAAATTTAAACATAACTCACAGTTGCTCAAACCATTAGAAATATCAGTGTAGCGAATTCCAGCTTGGTAATTGCACTTAAACCTAAAATTTTATCATCAGGCCCTTCTCATTTTTGACAATTTGCAAAGAAACAAATATGTATGTAAATAATCCAAGAACCAATCACATCCAGGTAAACAAAAGTTGCTATAACACGAAGATTATGCCATTGAAAGCAAAGTATATCATGGTAACCAGAAATTGGATCTCGGCAAAATTCAACAAAAATTATAGCCAAACCAAGGGTTCCGACTCTACACTAGAGCCAAAATAAACACAGGTGAAGATTTTGTGCATTTCTTTTTTAAAGTTGATGTGAAAATCCACTATTAATCAAAACCACCGAGGAATTCCTTAACCTTAGTAAAACATCATTGTAATGAATACTGAGCAATTGCACTAAATTAAAAAAAAACAAAAACATTTAAGGTATTAAGCTGAAATCTTTGCTCCTCGCATTCGCCTGGTCTAATCTAAATCCTTCCTTGGCAGTTATCGCCATTTACAAGTATTAAAAAAAAAAAAATCTTACAATTTTTAATACACCACTTTTTTATTTTATAATTTTTTTCTCGATTAAAAATACTTACCCGAATGTACCTTGTCCTATTTTTGCCAATCGTTCATACTTTGAAACTTCATCACAAAAGGGATATTCAGCATTGGCCAGTTTTTCAAGCACTTTCTCAAGCATGTACTTTTCACTCCTTAAAAATAATAATAATAATAAAATCTACAATAACTTTAAGAAGACATCTAAAACTTTCCTCAGCTAAAACTTGTGGTTTAATCATCCAGATTAGTGGAGACTAAAAACAAGATAACATTAATCTGAAATGAAATTTTAAACAATGCATCAAATGAAGGTTTTGTGAGATACCCATACACTAAGATCCAATTCACAAATAAAATTCCCTGACAGAAAACTTTAACAATAAAACAAAATATTAATAATAAAAATTAAGTTTTTATGAAATAAAATTGTAAACAATAATTTTTTTCTTGTTTTAAAAGAAAAAAAAGCTATGAATGCTTTTTATCAAGAAAAATATTTTTTTATTTACATATATATTATCTTTATTTATAGAGAAAATATTTTTTTTAGAATAATAAAAGCTTATAAATGTGAAGTATAAAAACATTTCGAGGCTATGTAAAAATAGAACTCTATATAGAAAATAGAACTCCATATTGTTTCATAGCAAAAAACAAAAACAAAAAAAAAACTAACTAAAAAACATAGTAAAACACTAAAAAAGTGACAGTCAAAATCCTAAAATGTTACGTGCGAAATACTTTTTAAATAATTGAAAAAGTAGCTGATATTTGAGCAAGAAAAAAGTTTATGTGGGAAACATTTATCCACAGAATATATAAACGTTTTAATAAAAATATCAATTCAAGATTTTATTTATTTGTTTAAAATTATTTGAACATGATTCTCAATGTGTAATTTTTAAATCATGCAGATACAAATTTCAATGTTTTATTTTAAAATCGCTTAAATGTGAATTTCAATATTGACAACCAAAATAGTTGCATGAATGTCAGTGCAACTAAATAGTAACTTTCATAAAAACTAAGTTTCCATAGTAAACCAACTAAATACATTAGTACATATTTACACATCAAACTTACTAAAATACATATTAAAAGTGGAGCTTCATTTCTTGGGAATTCAAAAAAAAAAGACCAACTTTCTTTAGAGAGGATTATACTTTTTCTTTTTCAGTAACAATAAAAAATTTTCTGCAAACGGCATTCATATATATCAGTGTTGCCAGATTAGGGGTTTCCCCCCTAAATTTAGGGGGATTTTTTATCTTCAGTGGGTATTTCAGGGGAATTTGTTTTAGGGCTATTTGAGAATTTTACTAGTTCCATTTTGGTTATGTTCTAATATCAAATTTTATAACTGAATGTGTGAGATGGTAATTTGAAAATCAATATGATAAACCAAAACAAAAAGATTAACATTTAATTTTAGGACTTAACCCCTTTGTTGAATGTAGTAACTTAGCTCGATCAACCTGTATGTTTGGTGAATTTCAATTAAAATTATTTGAAATTTTTAATGTGCATGGTTTAAAAATAATGCCCAAGGATAAAGAAAAAAAGAAGTACATATAGAATTACAAGAAAGATTGGGAACACAAAAGGGAGTTTAAAGGTAAATTAATAGTACAATTGCTCATAATTTTTTTTAATTATCAGCACATTATTAATTTGTTGATAATAATAAATTAAAAAGTATTAAAGCAACGTTATTTATACATTACTTAACTTTTGTACTATTTTTTAATACTTGTACATTAAGTTAAAAATTTTGGCGTTTTTAAAAATTTGTAGGGGATTTTACAACGCCATCTGGGGGTGAACGGTTATCGGCACCTGGCAACACTGATATATTAATATTATACCTACAGGTGTGGTAGCTAGTGGCCTCAAATTTTACTCCATTTCTCCTATTCAGTAACTTTGTTTTGCTTGCGGCCCAATCAAAAAAACTTGCCTAACGAGAAAACAGGGGTGATTGTGAGCCCAAGTCAAAATTCCAGAAAATTTCCTGAATTTGAAAATAAAAAAAAACAGTTTAAATTGAAAAATTAGAAAAAAATTTAAACAAGGTTTTTTTCTCCTTTTTCTCAATATTTCTTAGTTTACTAAAAATATATTTAAAATTTTACACATAACTATACCATTTACACATACCTATGATGACCTGGAGAATTAATTAAAATTTACAAATATGTCTTTTTTTTTTTTGAGTTTATGATTATAACAACTATTTAGTGATAAAAAAATGAATATTAATCATGAATATAAGCTTATGAAGTATCTCTGTGGCTCTCCCTTACAAACAAATTAAATAAACTGTGTTTTTAAGATCTACCTTTAAAAATTTGATTCCCGGAAACTTAAGTGATCAATGATTTTTTGAAACGTCTGGACTTTCGATCTCCGGAAACTTCTGGATCACTGTTAGCGAAAAATCCGGAATTTTTCCGGATCACAATCAGCCCTGAGAAAATTACCGTAATAGTACTTGCATAAAAAAAAAAATTGCAACATTCGCACAAACGGACAAAGGCATTCGAAATCTGGAGGGGAAAAAAATTACAGATTAGGATCACCTCAAAGGGTAAACTATAAATCACTCCCTTCTTCAATCAAACCTCATAATATATTTAAATTTATTGCGAGTACAAAAGCCTTTTAGCCCTTTAAGAATTGTAGTTGGGGCGAACAGGTACGGACAAATCTCTATGATCGTAATAGTGTTCCACACAGAGTTACTTTCAAACCTTATAATGAACTACAGTTACTAAATATGCATGATTTTGTTGTGTCACAACAACCAGAAATAAGACGTGAGTTGTACCAAACAATTTATTTAAACATTCACACGAAAAATCACAAAATATTACCCAAACGAAATATCTCTTCTCAGAAAAAAACTCTCTTTTTCAACAACAAAAAAAGAAAGAACATCACTTCTCGTGTGTGTCTCTCAAGCAACATTATTTTAGCATTACCTCTCGAGGAATTGATGCTTTTAGCTCAGTTGTCACTCTGTTACGTTACAGTCTAACTCCTCCCTTCCACAGAGTTTTCTTTGCAAAAGTAGGAAATGGCAAAAAAACATACATAAAATTTTGTCAAAACTGATCTATATAGGTTGACATAAAACTGTTTTGTTTATCGGTATATAGGAAAATAAAACAGTAAAGGAAAATAAACAGGAAAATAAACAGTAAAATTGNCATTTTGGTTACGTTCTAATATCAAATTTTATAACTGAATGTGTGAGATGGTAATTTGAAAATCAATATGATAAACCAAAACAAAAAGATTAACATTTAATTTTAGGACTTAACCCCTTTGTTGAATGTAGTAACTTAGCTCGATCAACCTGTATGTTTGGTGAATTTCAATTAAAATTATTTGAAATTTTTAATGTGCATGGTTTAAAAATAATGCCCAAGGATAAAGAAAAAAAGAAGTACGTATAGAATTACAAGAAAGATTGGGAACACAAAAGGGAGTTTAAAGGTAAATTAATAGTACAATTGCTCATAATTTTTTTTAATTATCAGCACATTATTAATTTGTTGATAATAATAAATTAAAAAGTATTAAAGCAACGTTATTTATACATTACTTAACTTTTGTACTATTTTTTAATACTTGTACATTAAGTTAAAAATTTTGGCGTTTTTAAAAATTTGTAGGGGATTTTACAACGCCATCTGGGGGTGAACGGTTATCGGCACCTGGCAACACTGATATATTAATATTATACCTACAGGTGTGGTAGCTAGTGGCCTCAAATTTTACTCCATTTGTCCTATTCAGTAACTTTGTTTTGCTTGCGGCCCAATCAAAAAAACTTGCCTTACGAGAAAACAGGGGTGATTGTGAGCCCAAGTCAAAATTCCAGAAAATTTCTTGAATTTGAAAAAAAAAAAAAAAAAACAGTTTAAATTGAAAAATTAGAAAAAAATTTAAACAAGGTTTTTTTTCCTTTTTCTCAATATTTCTTAGTTTACTAAAAATATATTTAAAATTTTACACATAACTATACCATTTACACATACCTATGATGACCTGGAGAAGTAATTAAAATTTACAAATATGTCTTTTTTTTTTTTTGAGTTTATGATTATAACAACTATTTAGTGATAAAAAATGAATATTAATCATGAATATAAGCTTATGAAGTATCTCTGTGACTCTCCCTTACAAACAAATTAAATAAACTGCGTTTTTAAGATCCACCTTTAAAAATTTGATTCCCGGAAACTTAAGTGATCAATGATTTTTTTAAACGTCTGTACTTTCGATCTCCGGAAACTTCCGGATCACTGTTAGCGAAAAATCCGGAAATCAGGATTTTTTCCGGATCACAATCAGTCCTGAGAAAATTACCGTAATAGTACTTGCATAAAAAAAAAATGGACGAAGGCACAAACGGACAAAGGCATTCGAAATCTGGAGGGGAAAAAAATTACAGATTTTAAGGATTGTAGTTGGGGCGAACAGGTACGGACAAATCTCTATGATCGTAAGTGTTCCACACAGAGTTACTTTCAAACCTTATAATGAACTACAGTTACTAAATATGCATGATTTAAAAGTTATGACGATGAAACTAGTTCCTACAGCTAGTTTAATCACACATTGTTTTTTAAAATCAAAGATATGTCTGTAATAATGATATTTAAAGCGGTTCAAAACATGTATTTCACGATCAGATTCTGTCTAAATTACTAACTTCAGTGAAAAAAAAAAGGCAATTTGTAAGATTATACGATATATTTCCTCAATAAATGAAAAATAGAATATTGTTATTAGACTACAAAGAAAGGCAGAGGGGATATTTCGGAGACTAATAAAAACCGAAAAGTAAATAAATGAACTTACTTTTCAACCGTAGCTCGAGTCGTCATTATGAAGTTGTTCCAAAGAAAATGTCACCTTGAAAATAAAATCAAACTCTAAATATATAAAATATCATTTATAATTAATTATATTAAAAAGAAAAAATTATAAAGAATGTTTTGAACTTAGGTATTGCACGTTTTTGTACATGAATCAATGATTGATTGATTACTTCCTATCTTTTGGTTGCTTATTTCTGCCCTACAAGACCTTTACATTAATTCTTGCAATTTATGAGTATCGTTTCACGAAAATTAACGCTAAGCTCACTCCATCCNGATCCGACGTTATCATCTCCTTGTTGCCATTCTGTAGTAGAAACTATGGTTTAAAATTAGTTACCAATTCCTTAAAAGATAGATACCCATATAAATATCGGTCCACGAAAATTAACGCTAAGCTCACTCCATCCAGTCAAAAATTCCTTAATAACCAAATATCAACAAGCACTGTTCCAAGATCCTGGAGATCAGGTGAGTAGAAGTAAGCAACCGATAACGTAAACAACTCTCAAATATATACTTGTATACTTCTACTCTTGGCTTCTCCAAGCTTCTACTAATATACTTCTTTCTGGAAAAATTCTTTATCGAGATAATTGTATTTAAACATAATATCCCCATAATTAGAAAGAAGAAGAGATTAATTAACCATATTTGTGCAAAGAAAAGTTTTAAAAAAATTGTTTTTGATTTGCAACTTCTTGGATCAAATTTACAAGTCTGCGTATTCATAATCTCACTCATCTAAAGTGAATTACCCTCGTAGTAATTGAAACAATATAGAAAGCGTTTTAAAAAGGTTATTTCCATGCAGATCTAATTCATAAATTATCTCCTTTATACGGGAGGAAAATCGATGTGGATGATAAAATATCTTTTTGCTGACAGTTAACAAAATTCATATTGTGCGTGCATAAATATTTTTTTCTGTACGATTTATATAATCAATAAACTATTCATTCAGTGTGTGAAAATTCTCCATGTATAGAGGAAATATTATTACTAAAGGCAATCTCAATCTATGTAGCACCACTAACAGCAAATAGTATCTGTGCAATGTGTGTCATAGTTTCAATGATGTTCTAACAAAAAATTATTTTAATATATATGGAAATTTATTGTTTGTGGTGATAAGTTTCTATTTGTAGTTCATAATTATTCTTTGTTATTATAAAACATAAGTACTAAAAATTATAAAAAAAGAAGTAGTTTCGTTTCATTGTTTTGTGTTCATAATTTGGAAATAATTTAATTAAGCACTCGTGAAAAATTAATCAAGGAAGAAAAATAATTTGGTTTAAGTAACACTTTCAACGAACTTTTCATACTGTGCGTCATTAAACAGTTATAAATAGATTAAAATTTTGGATTACTTATTACAGTTGCAGATAATTAAGCTGTGTGTTACTTTCATAAAATGTGTATGATAAAACATATATTTATGCACAAGAAATTTAAATTGTGATTTTCCTGTTCACTATGAAAAAATATTCTCTGTATTCAGTTTGTGTAATTTAATACTGGTAAATAGAATTGAACTTTGTTGACTTTCTCGTATTTATGTTAATGAATAAAACTTACCTTTTCTTACGCATGATAGAACATTGATATAAAAATTGGAAATTAAAGTTTTTTTTCATATCTTTATAGATAATTTCAAACATTTTAAGTCTGTGAAACTGAAAAAAATATTTTTTTACCTTTCTGCATTTCTAATGAACTATATTTCTGCAGAGTCTTTGCTAATAAAATGCTAATGAAATCAAATTTGATAATTTCATGTTTATAATAATTATTATACTGTTAATATCATAAAGTAAAATAATTTAATTTAGTATTGTATCATGGTATGTTTGACAAAAGAGAAATAAAGTTCATCTCAATATAATTTAAATTAATGCTTCCACAGACGCACCTATAAACAAGTCATATGCCTGCTGTAAGGTGATCATGTTTCTACAGTATTATATTTTACTTACTATACAGCATGTTCTTTTTTGTATCGTATGTTATTAAAGTCCTAATTTAATTCAGAATAGGTATCGTCCTGTAAGTAAACCTTATTCATGTTATTGTGACAAGAGGTTTTCAGGAAAAAAAGTCCAAATAAACACTGTAATTTTCATAGTGACGAGAATACCTTTTCTTTTAGTATATGTAATAAGATATTTTCAATGAATGTTTATGTATAAACACGGTTGCGTTCATTCTGGGGAGAAACCTTAATCTTGTACTATATGTAATAAGAGTTTTTCAGAAAAAAGTAGTATGATTAAACACAGTCGTGTTCATACTGGTGAGAAGCCTTATTCTTGTGATATATGTCATAAGAGTTTTTCACAAAAAAGTAATCTCACTAGACACGGTCGTGTTCATACTGGTGAGAAGCCTTATTCTTGTAGTATATGTAACAGGAGTTTTTCACAAAAAAGTTGTCTGAGACTGCACAGTCATGTTTATACTGGTGAGATGCCTTATTCTTGTAGTATATGTAATAAGAGTTTTTCAGAAGAAAGTGATCTCGCTACACACGGTCGTGTTCATATTCGTAAGAAGCCTTATTCTTGTAGTATATGTCATAAGAGTTTTTCACAAAAAAGTCATCTCACTGCACACGGTCGTGTTCATACTGGTGAGAAGCCTTATTCTTGTAGTGTATGTAATAAGAGTTTTTCACGAAAAAGTGATCTCCCTAGACACTGTCGAGTTCATACTGGTGAGAAGCCTTATTCTTGTAGTATATGTAATAAGAGTTTTTTACAAAGAAGTGATCTCACTACACACTGTCGTGTTCATGCTGGGGAGAAGCCTTATTCTTGTAGTATATGTAAAAGGAGTTTTTCACAAAAAGATATTCTGAAAAAACACAAATGTGTTCATACTGAGGAGAAACCTTATTCTTGTACTATATGTAATAAGAGTTTTTCAGAAAAAAGTAGTATGATTAAACACAGTCGTGTTCATACTGGTGAGAAGCCTTATTCTTGTGATATATGTCATAAGAGTTTTTCACGAGAAAGTCATCTCACTAGACACGGTGGTGTTCATACTGGTGAGAAGCCTTATTCTTGTAGTATGTGTAACAAGAGTTTTTCACAAAAAAGTTGTCTGACACTGCACAGTTGTGTTCATGCTGGTGAGAAGCCTTATTCTTGTAGTATATGTAATAAGAGTTTTTCACTAAAAGGTAATCTGAAAAAGCACTGTCGTGTTCATACTGGTGAGAAGCCTTATTCTTGTAGTATATGTAATAAGAGTTTTTCAGAAAGAAGTTATCTCACTACACACGGTCGTGTTCATACTGGGGAAAGGCCTTATTCTTGTAGTATATGTAAAAAGAGTTTTTCACACAAAGGTACTCTGGAAAAACACAAATGTGTTCATACTGCGCAGAAACTTTATTCTTGTAGTATATGTAATAAAAGTTTTGCACTAAAAAATGATCTGACCAATCACAGTCTTGATCATGCAGGCGAGAAGCCTTATTCTTGTAGTATATGTAATAAAAAATTTTCACTAAAAAGTAATATGACTAGACACAGTCGTGTTCATACTGGTGAGAAGCCTTATTCTTGTAGCATTTGTAATAAGAGTTTTTCAGAAAAAATTAGTCTGACACTGCACGGTTTTGTTCATACTGGTGAGAAGCCTTATTCTTGTAGTATATGTAATAAGGGTTTTTCAGTAAAAAGTGTTCTCACTAGACACGGTCGTGTTCATACTGGTGAGAAGCCATATTCTTGTAGTATTTGTAATAAGAGTTTTTCACAAAAAAGTAGTCTGACACTACACGGTCTTGTTCATACTGGTGAGAAGCCTTATTCTTGTAGCATTTGTAATAAGAGTTTTTCAGGAAAAATGAGTCTGACACTACACGGTTTTGTTCATACTGGTGCGAAGCCTTATTCTTGTACTATATGTAATAAGGGTTTTTCATCAAAAATCGCTTCCACTAGACACTGTCGTGTTCATACTGGTGAGAAGCCTCATTCTTAGTTGGTTTATGAAACATATAACAGGGTGCATAGCGTTTTTAAAAAGTGCTTAAAGGTGCTTATTTTCGTTTTCTAAAAGCCCTTAAAGGTACTTCTTTCATTGGGTGTTTTTAAAAAGTGCTTAATGATTTTCCCCTTTTTAAAATGAGATTTATCCTTTACCATGTTAATTTTCATTACGAATTATGCAAAAAGGCTCAGTTTACAGGGTTCCCACGGTCCTTAAAAACTGCTTAAATTTTATTCTGGAATATAAGGGCCCTTAAAAGTACTTAATTTTGACGCAAGGTTTTTAAAAGTCCTTAATTTTTCAGCATCACTACGGAACAATTATTCAGTTAGTAATAGAGTGTATTAGGAATAATAGAGGATGACGAAGAAGTATTACTTGTAAAAATCTATAAATGATTAAAATATAAATAATTTTACAGTATTTATTAATTAAGGAACCTTATCAACTTTCTGGTCATAGGAATACGTTGATATCTTTGAAAAATTGTTTTAGGCCCTTTTATTTACATGTTTACTAACTGATAAAAACCTAATAATAAGAACTTATAAAAACAAACTAATAAAAGAGAACTAATAAAAAACAAATTGGTTTGAAAATTATAAATCTTTTCAAATGTAATTTTATTTTTATTCTATATAAATTTTCATAAAAATATTTATTGCAATGAATTTAAAAAATGTATTGAGTTAAGCCTTATGAAAAAAAATGTGGAATGATTTAAGGTGCTTAGATATTAGTATCACCTGTTTTTACTCAAAATGGGACTTAATTTTACATGGCATAGTTAAGAAAACTTCTCAAGCATAACTCTAATTCAACTTTTTAGTATTAATTATTTTAAGATATACCTTTATGAATAAAACATTTTATTAATAGAAAAGAAAGAATTATTTATAGCGTAACTGAATATTTAGTGAGATTGGCCCACAAATGAATATGTGATGCAGGTCTAGTAGCGAAATATAAAAACTTGTTGTAATAAATTTTTCTATGTTTTTGCCAAATTTCTTTATTTACTCTTCTTTTTTTTAATATAAATGAAAAAAATTGCAAATCTTAATTTCTGGACAAAATTTTACAATGAAATCATTAAAAATTTAATATGGATTAGTTTCATAGTTCATAGATGATGTTAACCTTTAACGATCTGAATATGTTTTTTAAAAAAAGCCCAACCCGGCAGAAATTGCCTGGTACTTTGGCGAGCCCTGTTAATGAATGCAATTATATCAGTTCTTACATTATGATAAAATTGTTTATTTTTTTATTTATTGATTTTTTTATGAAATATAAATAATTGGCACTGTTACTGGTAGTATATATATGATAATTAACAATCATTCTATTTTTAAAGTCCTTAATTTTTCAAAGAAGTCCTTAATTGTTTAAAAAAAAGGTCCTTAAAAGTGCTTAATTTTTGCCTTGTTAAAAGGGTGGGAACTCTGGTTTACATTGTTCTATTCATCATTTTCTTAATTAATTTAACCCCCAATCTATTTTGAAGTATTATCATGTCCCTAGCATATGAAAATGCCATTCGTTTTACATGATTCTAAATTTCATGTTTTTTGACAAATGTCTAAAACAATGCTAAAAGTTTTTTTTCTATGTGACGGTTAAAACCAGGTAAAACCATCATTTGTCAGAAACTTTCCAAATGTGCCTAATTACGATATTTTTTTATGTGCTTAAAAATATTTTTTGAGTGCTTATTTTTTGTTAAATAATTTGGCTACGCACCCTGTATAAAGTAGTATAGATTGCTTCATAAAATCAATTTTTTGTTTTATCAAGTTCTTGTTCTTCAAGGCAAGTCATTTAAATATTTACTGATCATAAATTTTTTTAATCACATTTAAACGTTTTTGAGACTATTTTCAACCAAAAATTAGAAGAATGCACAAGATTACTCACTCTTAAAAAATAATCGTAATTAGTAAAGCATAAGTATTTTTTTGAATTCTAAAAATCTATTTAACTAAATAATTAAATTTAATAAGGAAGTATGCAAATGATTTTAGTTTGTCATTTTGAAATAGCTGCACGTTCATTAAAAAATTTTTTTGTCATGAGGTCTTTATGTATAAGTGCGTTATATTAATTTCTAGTTCTTTTTTTTATAATGATTCAGCACATCTTCAATATCTTGTTATAAAATTTTTTATTTTTTTATAAACGGTTGAAATAAAATGCACTTCATTTAATTTTATACTTATACTGCGTATTATAACATAATGGATAAAGAAATTATGTTTAAAAAATTTGTCAAAGATATTTTATAAAAATTATTATTTTTAGTGCAATTTCCATATCTTGTACAAGATATATTTCTGTATTTTTTATAGACAATTAAAATAAAATGCACTTATTTTAATGAAATTCTATAAGTTTGTGAAAGACATTCCTTAAAATTTATTTCATTTTATTTTTTAAAACTAATTTGATGTTCATGTGAAGTGATTTATCGTCACATTTTGTGTAAAGTAAGGATGTTCAACTTTTTTTACAATCATGTTCCTAATGTTAAATAATCTATTTTTTGTTGCGTGTGTGATAAAATATTTTTACAAAATAGATAGCTTTCTGGTTGCTCATAGTAACCAAAAGTTACTATGAGCAACCAGTCTTATTGTAATCTTTAATATGGATAATGTAATTTTTTTGTTTGTGTGTAATAAAATATTCTCACAAAATAGCATTCTGGTTGTTCACCAATGTGTTTATTATGGTGTGATTTATTATTGTAAATGGTGCAACGTATGAAAAGTTGAATTCATTAGGTTGAATAACCTAACTTTTGTACACGGGTGTGAGTTGTATTTTGAAACAGTTTAGATAATTGTCAGGGACCGATCAAGACAAAATCAAGCCCAAGGCCCACAAAATTTACCGAACCCCTAACAATATATTTTGAAATTAAATTTCTGAAGAGTAGTCCTAACAATGAAAAGAATCAATTAATCTGCATGATTCAAGAGAAACATTCTAAAATATTTTGAAAGCAGAAAATTGAAGATTATCTTTCGAAGATAAAGTTTACGCATTTAAATATTAAAGCAAAATATAAGATACTGTGTGACAAAAAAAAAATAGTTTGGTGACCACAAACAAGTGAAATCAGTGATTTTTGCTAAAAGTCACTGATTAGCAGAATTTTTTTAAAGATTGTAGCCTTCCATCTACAGCTTTACATATTTGTTAAAGATAAACTTTTAGTTCTTGTTGACACTAATCATTTATAAGAGACTTTGCGAATATGCATTCTCGTTGCATTTGCTTGGCTTAAGCCGTTGGAGTAAAAATTGCACCAATTAAAATTCAGCTGTTCTTTCGAATTTGATAAGTAGTACAATGTTTACACGAGTGTGATTTATCACAATATTAAGAAAATTTGAAATTAAAAAAATGCCTTTTTCGAGAAAATTTGTTTCTTTCAGTATTTAAAAAAAGTAATATTGTGGTCCTTCAACTAATTTTTGAGACCCCTTAGAAAGTGTGGGCCTAGGCAGTAATCAGGCCGTGATAATTGTGACGGGTCTGGTTCATTTCATCGACAATCACTTCATCGACAGGCCATTTCATCGACACCACTTCTACAAAATGGTGACTGTTACACANAGAAAACTTACTTTAGATTTTCCATTTGCTGAATAGTTATTTTTCAATCTATTTGATTGGAAAATAATTATCCATCATTCTTAATTTACCTTAGATCTTAATATAATTATCAAAAGTATTGAGTACTATCTGCCTTTAGCAGCCAGCTTGATCTCTTTCAAAATTATTTTGTGTAACATACATTACCCTATAGTAATAGAAGAGACGCTTTTAGTTTTTGACATTTTTTTAAATTTCTCAAAAAATACGGAGACGATTATTTTGTAATTTAGAGGTGTTTAGGTCATGCAATGTTTCATACTTATCAATAAGTTTCAAAGCTTTCGCAGGTTAAAGGGACCGACATTAAATTACGAACGAAAACAAGGATTTTTGAACACCCTGGAAAACATAGCAATAAACTTGTAACTTGCAATGATTACTTCGGTTGTTATTTTCAATAATTGAATTAAATTTCGTTCACCTAGCTTAAATATTCATAGAAATGTAATTTTTATATAAAAAAAAAATTTTTGTCAAAGGTTTGACTTAATTTCAAAAATATTTAACAAAATTTTCAGAATAATTTTTAATTAATAACAAAATTATTATTTTAAAACGAAGTATTTGTTAAAAATTGCACAAAATCTGAGCCTTTAAAGTAGCTTTTTCTTACTTGGCATGTGCGATGAAAAAAAATTATTTTTTTTAAAATAAAATGTCGTAGTGAATTGTATTTAGTTGCTAATGAAAAAGTCCGATTCGAATATCTTGAACATTGAAAATGTTTTTAGCAATTTTCTAATCAGTTTTCATTATTTTTCAAAGAAAGCTCTGAATGATTATGGATTTTCCACAAATTTTATTTTGTACTGTTAGATAAAATTTATTTAAAATGGCAGCGTACTTCATGTGATCAACCTCCATGAAAGTATGTTTTCTTTCTTTATACCATCACATTTCATTGTACTTACGACTACTGTAAAGTATTAATTGTTATTTAATTTTGTCTTATGCAAAAAGAAATTTGTTGAAAACCTCTTATCATATAAATTTTTCTTTTAAAAAATACAAACACTCATTAGGAAATTTCCACAAACTTAGTGAATTTTTAAGATATTCAAATCGCAGTCAGCCAAAGAAGACAAAAATAAATAAATACTTTTTTTTAATATTAATAAAGCCATATTTTTACAAATATTTAAGCTAGGTTTACGAAATGTTTTGCAATAGGCTATCGCAACGCACGAATAAGCAATCTGGGGAGAAGACCGTTCCCTGCCTTTGGCCCTTCCTCCTCTTTTTAGTTGTATCGAAATGTACTACACTATTTTCACCTTTATTAATATTTTTCGCATTTAATTGTTAAAAATGTTTTTTAAAATTTCCATGCTGCTTTCTTTTAGAACTATGTTTAATTTAGTTTTAATCAATTTGAAAATCAAGACAGAAACTAACGGACTTCATTCTTCTATGACTCTCCACAGGCTAATGAATGGTGAAAGCAAAACAAGAACAGCAATAGGTAAAAATTTCTCTCCAAGCCACCTGTAACCCATTTCGATCCAAAGCAATCGATACAAATTTCATATAAAGAAACTAAAACTAAACTCAGTGGCGCGACAGCCCATAGAGGGCCAAGGCCTACTGTGCCCATCTCAGTTTTCTTGACCTTGGGCTCTGGGGTTCATATAAAGAGTGTCACAATTTAGCCGAAACTTGCTATAAAGTTTATTAGAACTCTATTCTACACAAAAAATCCAACCACTAACACTTAAAAAATTTAAGAAATATGTAAAATTTGCTAATTTATTTCGAAATGACACAAAGCTTGCCACCCAATTGATTGTAAACAAAGATCGTGACGTTACGCGCCCGTGACCCATTGGATTAAATTACATAATGTTACTATGAAAGTGACGTCATTTCTCATGCTTCTCGTTGGGGAAAAAAAAAGCAGAGCGTTTAGCTGAAGTGTTGAGGAATATTGAGATGATTTTTTTTAAAAAAATATTCTATGATTGATCAATGAAATTAAAGAGAAAAAAAATTTTCGTTCAAAATACAGTATATATGTATATACATAAATATTACGTAGAATACAGTATATACATAAATATTACGTAGCAATGACATACAGGTGGACACATTGTGAATATTTTGTACCAATATATATATAAAAATAAACCTAGGTGACAAAAAATTCACAATTTACATATTTGACATTTTTGTATGCTAAACTACATATTGCAAAAAAAGAAATTTAATAATAATTATTATTCTATAAGTTGTCTAAAACCCTGTTTAGCATTCCTAGCATTAGAGTAAAAATAGTTGTCAAGCTACTTTTCTCGAAATCTATCATGAAGCACTTGGTTGTTTTTTCATTTGCAGGGCAGTTAGTACTAACATTACGGTGAACGGTTTGCAAATTTTTTATTATTTGCACTACTTTATTCCTTTGAAGATTATTTCATATGAGAATATGGATGTCAATTCTTTTTCGAAAGCTTCCATACATGAGCAAAATTACACATACTTATAGAATAGTAGCTGCAGGTAATTTTTTTATTATCTCAAATCTTAAAAAAAGAAAGAAGAAACTTTTTTCCGTTTTAAAAAACCTCAAAACTTGATTTCCATCAAAACTATTAACCTGAGTTGAGAAAACACTGCAAAGAGGGGGAGAGTAAATATCTGACTGCAGACTTGCACTGCATAAGGATTTATTTCACTTTTTTTATTTTCACTTTTTTTAATAATTTGGCACTATAATTTCTGCTTTCAGTTTTTTTAGAAAAAATCTTATTTTGTCCAAAACCAATTATGTCCCGAACATAAGTAATAGTGCAAACATAAAGGTGAATGCTTAATAATTTTTTGCATAACTTTTCCATGGGGCTTCATATTAAAATATGGGCATCATATTTTCTGAAAACTCCCATATATGGCTATAAATGTTAATAATAGATATAAAAAGATAAGCGTGCATATATATATAACAAATTAATGAAAATGGGAAAAAAAATTTTTTATTAATATAAAAAACTATGGTAACTCCTTTTAATAAAAAATGACAATAACCATTATCTTATTGCCTACATTAGATAAAACAAACAGAAATACATATGAAACTCTTTATTTTTAAAATAAAAAGAAATTACAAAAATTAAAAACAAACTACTTAATTATTATAAACAATTTTTCATCAAATTAAGATATAAATATAACAAGCCCATTCTAAATTTATTAAAATCACAGAATGACATATTATTAAAATTTTAGTCAACTCATACATAAAAATTAGGGATTCTTTTGGAATGCTTGACAAACACAAAATAAAAATAACATTTGGTAAATTACATTGAATTAGAATGTAAGCAATAATAATTTTCTAACTTCTATTGTAATTGCATTGAAAAGTTGAATACAAATGTTAAATAATGCAGAATATACTCCCAATCATCAGGGCTAGTTACTGAGAATGAACACTGAAAACATCAATATTCTAAAACTGTTTATTTTACAATTAAAAAGGTTGCGATTTATCATGTGATTGTCGAGGAAATCCGCATGCGATTTCACTTATTGTATTACAATTTACTTTATGTCAGGCTCTGAGTCTCTTAGTTATTATAATTCCTTTCGTGTCTGATTGAAAAATACTAAGATATAATAATCTGCTTTAAGTAAGTCTTAAAATTTTTCATGTCTTACAATTTGCTTCAAGTCAGATCCTAAGTTACTAAGGCATAAGAAAAAGTATAATATCACACCCGAAATTGAGTGAAACATTGTCTTAGCTTGTTATGAGAAATAAATGATTTTCAATCTCATATTTTTCGTTAAACTTATAAAAACAAAAAAATAAATTTTTGTAAAACATTTATTTTATACAACGCAGAATAATACACAATTGACACAAGGTCATACTGTTGAGCGTAAAAGATGTCTTTTTATTCAACCTATTAATTGTTCATCCTACGTGAGATCTGTTATCGACGTGGGATATGTTATCTTTCCTGGGGAAAAATAGGTAGATGCTATATGGTAAAATAGCTGATCAAGAAGAAGTATTGTAAGTAATATTAAAATTTAAATTAAATTTCTGGGCATTACAGATCTTAAACTTGCTTCGTTTTGTCATAGCATATTCTGAAATATTATTCAGATAAATCCTGACAATTCTTAACATGTAAAATCAAACAAATCAACAGGGAGACAGATTTTCAACAAGTAACAGGCAAATTTTCAACAAATTATGGTATCTAACAAATAATCCAGAAAAATAAATAAATAAAAAAACTAGAGTTTTCAAAAAAAGAAAAGAAAAAAAAAACAGCTTTAACAATCCTTTTGTAAAGAATATGTGCTTGGCTTTTCACAATTGCGTTGCAATTTGAAGCAATATTATTACCAAACCATTAGATTTAAATTTGTATCGATAAATACTTTCTTGCCAGTTCAGGGTCATCAATGTGAGCAGTGTGAAAAAAATAACCGTTTGTGAAGATTAGTTTAATCTTTTGACAATTTGATTGTTTTAAATGATTTTAACGCAGGCCAAAGCTCCTCCTCATTTGTCCCAAATTATGTATAAAATCTCATATGTACAGTGTGAGCTGACCTTACTCCATGACCTCTATGAAGCATTAATGTTGTGCCGCTGAACATCTGGGCATGTATCACAATCACTGGGTAAAGAAATAATTACTGACATCAACCAACAAAACAATTGGATTATAACTAAAATAAAAATTGCAACTATCTAATATTTATAAAAACTTTTAAAAAATTAATTTTTTTAAATTTACAAAGTTTTTTTTTCTTTGATAAAAAGAAATTTAGTGTCTTACTCTATCTCTTCACACTCTGCATCCTAGTTTGCAAAACTAAAATTACAATTTCCCTATTGTTCATAGTTGTACAGTTTCAAACATATTTCATTCCTAACTTGAGTAAAATATTTTCATTCCTAATGCGAGTAAAATATTTCATATCAATGAATATGGTTGTCAACTTGAAAGATTGTTTTAACCAACCTTAATTTTTTCTCTTATACTTCACTGGTCACTTAACACAAAAAGCAATAAATGCCTTGAAGTTCAACAGCTTCAAGGATCCAGTTTTTTTGATGAATTTGTTCACACACAGTTAATTACGTTCACTAAACTTATTTTAAACAGTTAAAATTTCACCACTTCCTTGAAAGATAAATACATTTTTTCCCCTCTGCTAAAAGTAACAATGTAAAAGTCAAAATAAATTCATAAAAAAACAGTATACTGAGGCAAGTGTAGACATAAGTTAATACACAATCCAAGTAAACAATTATATAAAATACATTTTTAAGTAGATCATAGAAAATTGAAGGTAAATAACTAAAGTTTTAAATTTCAAAACAACACAAGTGAGTATAACGTGAAAAGGACCGCACACACCATTCTTGATTCCTTTACAGAGTAAGTATTAATCAATCAAAGATAAAATTATTTGTTAATTCAATTAAAACTTAACTCAGTGGCGCGACAGCCCATAGAGGGCCAGCCTACTGTGCCCATCTCAGTTTTCTCGACCTGGGGTGCAGGAAGAGATGCTCCGGTTAGGTGGTTAGCCGAAAGTGGAACCCACAGTGTTTAGTTCCCAAGCATGCTTGGTACTCATTTATCAACCCACTGAAGGGATGAAAGGCTGATAATTCAACTAATTTTGACAATTTAATTTATCAAACTATTAATTCGATAATTAAACTAATGAATGATGATTAATAAATCAGGATTAATGATTGAATTCGAGTGAAATAACAAATGAATGATTGAATTTGAATGAGTGAATGAGAGTAAATGATTGAATTTAAATGAATTAATGAAGGAATAAGAATGAATGACAGAATAGAATTGTTTTGAATGAATATAAATGAGTGAATGAATGATTGAATTTAAACGAATGAATGATTAATAAAAGTAATTTGCGCTGTTACTATGAAGGACCAGGGTTCTATCCCTGGTGGTGGCAAGAAGCCTATCCTATGACTGTGAAGTAGAGGCAGCAGGTGCAAAAATATCGACCTACTATCACACTCTTGGTCTCGCAATTAAATTGTGAAGCCTGAACCAAGGCCAACAACACAGTTGTTAGGAATAGCTTTTTTTTTAGAATTTTTTTAGAAAATGTTTATTCACAGACTTGTGCAGGTTTGAAATTCATAACTTCAAGCATAGGGAATAAAATTTCGATTTTTAATTCAACATAATAAATACATTATACACCATCTGTTTGTTCCAAGAACACAATATTTTAAAAACAAAAAATACTTCTTACAACAACCCAACTTACTATCACAAGCCTGAAATAAATTGGCCATCATAAACTGATGGAATAAAATTGTTGCAATATTTCCAATTGCAACAATTAAGTCTAAAAGACACGATCATGATACTGGCCATCATTGGCAGTAGGGTGAGCTTTATTGTGATGTCCACCTGGTCCAGCATGTCTATTGTGCTCATTCTTTTTCTTTGAAAACAAATATTCAAACATAGACTGAGTATAAGGTGAAAGCATCTTTGTCAAATCACTGGGTAATGGATCTGACCAGAAGAAATCATGATTGAGGGCTGTATCACTATCTATTCTCTTGGCAGGATCCAATGTAAGTAATTTGTCCAAAAGATCAAGGGAAGGAGCATCTTTAACATATATCTATAAATTAGAATAAGTTAGAAAGAATTAATTTTAAAGTTAATATATATAAAAGGGTGCATAGCCAAATCTTTCAATAAAAAATAAGAACCTTCTAAGTATTTAAGCACTCAAAAAATATTTGTAAGTACTATATACATTAACAAAATGCAAAATAATTTTCTAAGACTTTATACGATCATGATAAAATAACTCTTTTCTTGATTATATTAGCCACCATAAAAAGATTGCAAGATTTTTCGAACCGAAAAATCTCGCAATCTTTATTTTGGTGAGGATGGACAATGAAGCCTGAAATTGAGAAATGCAGCAGAGTTACATATGAGAATGCTAGAATCTCACCTAACCCAGCTCAGTATACGCACATGCGGACCTGCAAGAATTTCATCACACATGTAAAATTATTGGCGATTTCACACGAAATGCATTGTGTTGGATGAATTGTGAAAACGTTGAATAGAACAATGTAAAAAAACATGCTTTTGCACAATACGTGGCAAAAATCATCATGGTAAAGAAAGAAATCTCATTTTTGAAAAGGGAAAATCAAGCTCTATTAAAAAACACCCAATGAAAAAAGCACCTTTAGGGACTTTTATAAAACGAAAATAGAAATTAAGCACTTTTTAAAAACGCTACGCACCATGTATACAAGCAGTAATGTTTTTTAATTATTTATTTTTCGAAAATTTGCCAATTAAAATTTTATTTCATAATCTGGCCAAGTATGTATGGGCTGAAGTTTAAAAGTCCTAATCATAGGGTGGGAAACAAATTTTGTGTCATGTCTAAAGAAAATTATAATAGTGGGATTTGAACCTGAGACCGACCAACCACAATGTAGTAATCTTAATCTCTGCCTCACACATCCCCACCTACTAAAGATTTTTTAATTTTGAAATTAAGTGAATTAAAATTTTACAGGTCTCTTATCTTACCCTAGATGCTGAAGTGGTACAAAATTTTTCCACTCTTCAGGCCACTCTATAATCTAAGCTTAGTTTAATTTCAAAAGGATTTTTAGAAATTCCTACTTTCATAGTGAGCATTAGTCTCAATACTTTAAATGAGTAATTTTCAAATGGCATTCTATGTTATTTAATGATACTCTATGTTATTCAATAGGAGAGAAGTTTAAACAAAGTAATTACAGAATAATTTTACTGAGAGGCTCAATACTTGGATTGTTAAATAATATTACTATTATTTTTTTTAAATATTACTCACTAACATTAAACCTCCTTTAGAATTTTACTTAATTTAGCTTAAAGCAGGTTCCATGTCTCCAGGTATTTGTTCAACTACTTGACTTCCTCCTTACTTTTACATCAGACTTCGTTTATAACACTGTTTGACTTTCTTAACCCCTTCCTTCTCGCTTCCGTGAAAATGACGGGATGAAGTTTCGCCCTCTATTTCTCGCTTCCATGATATTTCCGGGCTGGAGTGTTCAGTAGTAACGCGCCAATAAGAATAAAACTAATTCATTTCTTTTGCCCAGAAAAAATTGTATTTCTCATTTTACACACCAGGTGGCAGTACCAGGATATTTTTAAGGTAATTGTAGACAGTTAGTTTATTTCAAACTAGATGTCAGCACTGATATAATTTTCAGGGATAAAAAAATATGCACTTTTATGACCATTTTCTTGAAAATTAACCGATCGTTAAGGGGTTAACATTGAGCACTTAACAACTGCATTTGGTACAGTATATTTATTTCTAGTGCTATTAAACAATTAATTTAATTAACTACTAAAATTAATGACAGTAAAAAATAGCAATTAAAGAAAAGTCTTCAGTTTTAATTAATAAACAGAAAAGTCTAAAACAGACATGCCTAAATATTGACTGATTCATGCTCTGTGTGCTATACATTAGATACTTATAAATTATTCTCAAAAAAAAAAAAAAAAACATTACAAGATTGTTTTAAATACCAAATTAGTATTAACTGTAGTTATATAAAATGGATCTTAGAACTTTAGTAAAGTTCTCATTCTAGAGTTTAGTAAAGATCTGTTGCTTGCATATCAAATAGAGGCTTCATAGCTAACTTTTAAAGTTACACATTGTACTAAAACACGTTGTACAAAACACAAAATTACACATTGTACTAAAATCATTCATTGTACATATTTTACACCGTAAAAACCACTTTTAGTGGTTTTATGGGGTTAAATATATTTAAATTTAAAATAAAATGAGAATTCGGTACATTTTCTTTAAAAGAAAACTTAGTAAATAAAAGAAAGAAAGAAATGTATAAATACCATAAGTCTGTCTTTTACTTTTCGCCTTTGATTCTTGGGGAGTTCCATTTTAGTATACAAGTCAAGTTTTTCTACACCTGCAAATGTTTCTGGTGTTATACTGCCACACAACTGACTGATTAATGTCAGCTGATGTTGTTCAGTACTACCCTATAGGAAGAATTAAAACATTAGTTTTAAAAAACAAAACAAGAATTATGAGTTTTATTAATAATTGAAGTTATCATAACCTGCTAACAAAAAATCTTATCATTTACTTAACTTTTTTACTAAATAACATCAATTGAGAACGTAAAACAAATTTTGAAATATAGTTTTTCTTATCAAATAAACAAACATGGAAAATTACTACTACATTAAGTGTAGATTCAATAATAAACAAACAAAATATCCAAGGAAGAAAAAAAAACAGATGTTGATCTAAGCAAATATTTAAAAAAAATTTTGTGAAGTAATGATAATAAATGATTTGTTAGTTATTGTAATTAATATAACATAAAGTAATTAATGCTTAACATAATGCAATTAATGCATTCATTATTTTAGTTACATACAGAACCCAGTTTTACATAAAAATTATTATGAAAGTAAGCATTACTATATTTTCTGTAGAATAATTGTAGAATTGTAACTAAATATGCTTATCATAAAATGTTGCATAATAAGGTAATGTCTTGTGATTGCTTATAATAAGATGAAGAAACAACATTTATAGTTTCAAGCTTTTAATTTTAAACAGTAATCTAAATTAAAAACAAAAGAATAAATAACAGAGAATAATATTAGGAAGTGGTGATAAACGCATGACACTGATAAATATAACATTTAGCAAGTAAAGTGCTTAATTCATGCTGATAACTGTCAAAAATATATAAATTATTTTATTTGATTAATGACCATAGCAAGTAATTTTTGAATTAGAATGAAATTACATGAAGTGTTAAGATGACAATTATCTTTCTAAGATGCTTAGAGATTTATTTACCTGCATGATAGGACTACGAGTCCACATTTCGGCCATTATGCAACCAGCACCCCACATATCAACAGAAGGTCCATAATTACGCTCACCAAGCAAGAGCTCAGGTGGTCTGTACCATAAAGTAACCACTCTATTAGTGTATCGGTTTGGTTGTCCATTTTTGCTTGCACTGAAAGCTCGAGCTAATCCAAAGTCAGCAAGTTTCAGAGTTCCTGTCTTGGTTATTAAAATATTAGCTGCTTTCATGTCTCTAGAAATAGCCAAGTTAAAAAAATTTATCTATGTGTAAAATTTTTAACAAGGTCTGTCACCAAATTCCATCAATACATTTTTTATAAAATTATTATTAATACCATCTTAACTTTCGCACTTAAATTATTTGCCCACATGGAAAGTTTTGATATAAATAATTTTATAAAAACATGTTATTTAAAGTTAATAAAAAAATGCACTTAAACCTGAGCTTTAGCTCTGTTGAAAATGTAGTCCATAACATGGAAATTTTTATACAATTTTGCGCATGAGTCGCAACAGTTGGAGGATTAAAACTAGAAGGTTCGCATACCACTTTTTTTTTCTTTTTGAAAAATTCAATTTAATGAAATTTCTTTTTTAGTCAGAACGAAAATAAATAAAAAACATTATTAAACACACACATATTGAATATTGAATAAAATAAAATACAGTAGAGAACTGATTATCCGGAACGATCGGGACCATCGCGATTCTGGATAACTGATTTTTCCGGTTTTCTGAATCGCTACAAAATGCCGATTTTTTAATCTTTATAAAACGAAACTAAAAAATAATTTTTAAATAGTTTTAGAAATAATAAAAAATTATAAACAATAATACACTTAAGTTTAACTAAGGAAAGAAATTATGAAATAAAAATTATATACAGGCTTATATATGTTATTAATGTTATTATTAACATTAATAACATATATAAGCTATTTGTGCTTATGTGAGATTTGTCTACAAACGGCTTTTGATCCGTCCTCTAAATCAGTTCTTTCGTCAACTCGATACTCCGTACGCTCTAAATAACAAAATGGGCTCAAAATCTTGCACCAAAAAAAATTTTTTTTAATGGAAGAAAATTAATTTACGGTTCCGACTTTCATTCCGGTTATCTGGTTTTCCGGTTTTCTGATTTCCGGATAAGAAGTTCTGCACTGTACAAAAAAAAAACTAGTAATAAATATTTTGCTTTTAAAATAATTACTAATAATTTAGAAATACCAGTTGCTTTGATTTTTTCCCTTTTTTTTTAATCTTTCTATTTATAACCTGTTAAGCCTTTTTACATAGGGCTTTCTTTTTACATATTTTCGTAACAAAGTATTTCTTTTTATCATATGAAAATGATACTTATGATAATACTAATGAAAAATACTAAAATCTTTATATTTTTTAATAAAAATAATTCTCAAATAAGTAAATTTTTTAGTTAATTTACTGTAAGAATAAATTTTTTTTATTGTTTATTCATATTTTAAAGTTTAAAAATAATCAACATAACTATAAATTTCTTTATCTTGGAAAGCACTGAAGATAGCTCAAAATAAACAGAAATTAAAAATGCTAATAACTGCTCACCTGTGCAATATTTTATTACTGTGAATAAAGTACAGTCCATTCAAGAGTTGTTTCATAACCATTTTAATCTCACCAATGGAAAACACAACTTTCACATTGCTTAATAGGCCAGCCAAATCATGCTCACAAAAATCAAACACCAAGAAAAAGGTTGATTTGGAACGATTGAATGGTGATGCTGCATGGAATTCCAAACTTATATAACACAAGAAGTAATCCCAAAAATGTCAACATTTCTTTACAATATTAATATGGTACTTTTAATAATCATAGATCAAGTACACACGCACATAAAATAATAATAATCTTTGGGTAAAGTGATGCTTTGTATGCATATATACTGCTGCATATTTAAGACACTACTAAAGTAGAAGAACATATCAAGTGAGTGGAAAAGCATAGGAAAAATCAATCAAGTAAAAAAAACCCTAATAAGTTAATGAGAAAATACAATAAGAAAAAGAATAACATGTTAAGAGAGTGGAAAAAATATGGCAGAATGCACTATGTAGAAACTTATGTTAAAATAACATTTTAATGCATTTGTGACAAAAAGGTATAGAGCACTAAGAGGCAGTTTACAAAAAAAAAATTCTATTCAAAAACCACATTTTAAAACTGTATTCTACTTACAGCCAAAATTAATAAACATGATATCACTTCCAATTATTTTCATTCAACGATTCTTATCATTATAGACTTTTCAAATTCTTACTTCCATTAAAAGATACTTGATTAAAATATATTTTAGATTATATTTTATGGGCGTAACTAATATAATTTTATATAATTTAAATGAATTCTGAATGATAATTTTAACATACTTAATAACTAAATTAACAAAATTGATTTGGAAAAATTTTTAGTCTTAGAAAGCGGTTCCCAAATTCTTTACGAATATGGAACACAAAATGATTGAGCATCTTTTGGCAGAAGCCCAAGTTAAAATTTGCAATTGTGATAAAAAAAATAAATAAATAAATAATAAACTATAAATTATTTTGATCATACTCAATGTTAAAAATGAAATTTATTCAGTCATTGTTTTACCAATAATAGACCAAAAATAATAATTTTTGTGACAAACAGTTAAATATTTAGGCCTGGGATGACGTTTAGTCTAGTTCTGAATTTATTTTTGGTGTATGCATAAGCTAAAAACGAATAAAATGCAAATTATAGGTTTTGAAAACGAACTGTTACAAACGTTGGGAATGGTGATTAGAGAAACATAATCTTTTATTCCAGAATTTTATCATTTTATACTGCAGGGGTCTGTCNAAAATTTAATATTGAATGTTTCACTCTCAACTGCAATTATTTAGAAGTCTATGGATTGTTACGAAGTGTTCCCGGCCTCTTGGTGGAGGTAAGCTATCTCCTTTTTTTGATATCTTTTGGTAATACCCAAAAATAATCTTTTATTCCAGAATTTTATCATTTTATATTGCAGGGGTCTGTCAAGGTTTTTCTGAGCAGTACCTATTTTATGGAATTTGTGAAAATTGAAAATTATATTAAAAAATAGGCACAAAAATACAGTAAAAATATGGATTTATCGTTTCTTATGAAATACAAAAAATAAAATTTTTAGAAAAAGTATTTTGTGAATTCCCTAAAGTTGTGAATGTACCGCTAAACGGCAGTAAATTTGACCTAGACAAATTCCTGTATTGAACTGAAAACTTCGATGAGAAAAAATAGTTGAATTTTTTTAAAAATGCAAATCATTTTCATAATTTATTTACTATTTTGTTATTGTAAGTAATATTTTTTAAAAACAATTTGGCCAGTTCTTAGGTAAAAAATAAAATATTAATGTAGTAACCAATATATTTTTCAATGTACTTGTAAAGTTTAACTTCAGAAAATATTTATGTTAACAAATCAGCCAGTTTATGAAATAAATTATTCCCAGAACGTACATGAATTTAATAAACCGCAGCACAGTATAAAGTTCTTCCTAAAGACAAGTTTGTTCACCATGTCATAGTTCCTTGATCTTTTAGATCAGGTTTAAAATTACAAGAATACTGAAATGAATATTGATTGCCTTAAGAACAGGTGATAAAATAAAATTATACAAAGAGTTTTGCTCTCACACCTGGAGTGCCACACCTAAGAAATTACTTAAAATAATTAATAAATATAGGATAAGCTCTCGTCAAGTTGAGTTACAGCAACATAATAATTTAAAATAAGGAGGGAATAAAACAAGCATGTGTACAAAAAGAAAAGAAAAAAAATCCTCAGGAATGGTTTTGGATAACAGAAATATTTAGAAAACAGAAATTTAATAATAAAAATTCCAATTTACTTAAAATATCATAAAAATTGTATAAATACAAATCAATAAAGTTCCAAGTACAATTAAAAACAATTATGCACTTTAATATGTTGCAATTATATCAGAAAAAATATGAATATCTTACTATCAATCTATTCATTAAATACATGTTACTTGTATTATAAGTTGTTATTTATCAAAGTCCTAACAAAAGCAAACAAAACAGAATCACTTGATAAGTAAAAATTTGAATTTTGAATTTGAACTATTGAATTTAGCAACTATCTGTTACATGCAACAGAACAGAAAATGTAGCAAAGAAAATTGACCACTTGTATGGGGATTTTTAAAAATCGATTAGAAATGAATTTACGCATGAAATAATTAATCCCCATTCATAAATACAGAATGAACAATGAAGTATATAATTCATTAATCGCATATTGTTAATTAATCATAGTTATCAACAAGTCTTTATTATATTTTGCATGAATCATTAAGTTTCAGAAATGCAATACTCATTAACAAGATTTACTAACTAGATAACAATTGATTTTAGCAATCATCGCTTACATGCAACAGAACAGAAAATGCAGTGAAGAAAATTGACCACTAATATGCAAATTTTTTTAAAAGTTGATTAGAAATGAATTTACACATGAAATAATTAATCCTTATTTATAAATACAGAATAAACAACGTAGTACATTGTTTATTAATTACATATTGTCAATTAATCACAATTATCATCAACAGTCTTTATTATATTTCGCATGAATCATTAAGTTTCAGGAATAATATCTATTCTTTTTATTCTACATCATATTTTATTTGTGTATCTGCTTGTGTTTTTAACTTTGAAATAAAATAAGAAAAACATAATTCTTTTATTTTATCTTTAAATAAATTCTTAAATATGTTACACCTTTAAATATTCATAATGGTGTGTGTTCAAATAGTATAAAATCAGTAGGTTTCAATCGGCCATCAGTTATTGGTGGAAACTCAGTGGATTTTTCAATAGCTTAGTTCATTATGATCAAATAATTAATGACATCAGATTAACAAAATAAAAAATCATTCAACAATGAAGGAATTTACTTCTTAACACTTCTGTGTCTCTAAAATATCCTCTTTTTTTACGCTCTTTTGAAGTTGCATGCAACAATGTAAACTAATAATAAAACATGCACATATAGCGCATACTATAAAAAACAAATATACATCTAATAAATGTTCTTTCATTGTTTATAAAATTAATATTAACACGTTAAATTAACAAGATAATTACATGCAACATTACTAATTAAATGTTGTAATTAACATGTTAACATTTAATAAATTATTAATTAATAATAAATGTATAGATCAACTATATCAACTATACATGGGTGTCGCAGAACCCAATTTTTGAGGAGGATGAAGTTAAATTAAATAGTCATAATAGTTCTCTAAATTTCGCGCATAAGAATTTTTTTTTTTTAAATTTGCTAAAAATCTCCAAAATGATTATTATTTTGGCCCCCAGTGACGCTCATGACATTATCATACTATGAAAATTACTCTACAAATTGAACAATTTGTATGGTAATTTTAATATTTTTCAAAATAATAGCTACAATAGATAATTAATTTTAGAAGAAGTTAGTTAAGGTAATCTACATGCCTTTATTTAATAAAACATCTTTAAATAAACATTATTATTCTTACAAAAACTTAGCGAAAATTTCATAATGAGTCAAAAGCTCAAGTAATACATCATGACATTCCTGATTACTAGTATAACAAAGTTAGTGTAAAAGCTTGCTAGATCTAAATTATTAATTACAAATAAACAATAACTAATAGTTTATCTTACCTTCGTTTTGATATTTACCTTTAGTGCGGCAAATTTCTATCAAATTCACCACATTTTCATGTTTAAGCAATTGTAGGATTTTGATTTCCCTTAGAGCAGTGATAGGAAACTGGGAAAAAATTAACAGGTAAAAACTAAATAAAATTGCACTTTCATTTTATAGAAATTTGAATTAAGCAATAGATTTAACCTTCTGAGTCTTTAAACCAAATTTTGTTTTCGTTTGAACTATCTTCAACTGATGTTGAATGGCGTAGTTCAAAGAAAAGATAATTTCATAAAAATTTTCCAAAATGCTTTCTGCTCAGAGGATTAACAAATTTTTCAATGCAGGTATAAATTTAATACTGCAAACTTAAACAATACAAATAGTAATACAGATCCAATTTGAACAAAGAATTAATACATTACTTATTTTACATTACCGTTATTTTTATAGGAAGCATGGGAAAAATTCAATAATGTTAGTTAGTAAGCATTTTAAAAACAATAACTATGAAAAAAATAAGATTATTTTAAATTAATTAGAGATAATTATAAAAATTATGCACATAAAGCTGACATGGAAAAGCTTTTAAAAGAACTAATATATCTTTCTTTTTATAAAATTACCTGCTTATACATAAGTCCTAGCCACAAAAAATCTCACCAATCTATTTTTCAACCAATATCTTCGTTTATAAAAAAAAATAATGATAATCCAATTTCTTAAACTAAAATGGGATTTAAAAATGGTAATCATAAAATTTGTAATTCTTGCACTATAAAAAAAGCTTCTAATCAATAACTATTTTTTGATAAAATTAGATAAAAATTTAAAAAGAATAAAGAAAATTTTTAAAAAAATTACCCTTAACATTTCTACTGATAAGAGTAAAAAACTATTTGTTAGAAACACATATAGGGGAAATGGGCAAGAGTGGAAATGGAGCTCAAATGGAAACTTGAAAATATTGTGAAAAATATAAGACTAAATTAGCTTATCTATTATTCATAATGAAGACAAACATTCAAATTTTAAATAAAAAATACACAATGGATATAATCATAATGATGATTAGCAATCTTTCTTTGGTAAATTTATAAAAATGGCCCAGACTAGCTGCTTCCCCTCTATTTTCTCTATATAAAACTAATAAAATATGTTTTTTTTATTTCACCAACTATTATATATTCAAATTCCAAATGCAATATACTTTATTATTAATAATTTTATTTTTTATTGCAGCAATAACCTTTAATTTCAATTTTTATTTTTAAGCAAAACTTGTAAGATGATATGGTTCTTACTAAGACACTTTCAGAGAAACATACAAAAAAATTCAATCATGTAATAAAAGCGTGGAAAACATGAAATTATTTATTGACAAATAAATAAATAAGTAAATAAATAAAATAGACGCATAATTCACACAATTTATTCGAAAGCGTATGCAAAAGAATCTATGGACATAACTAGGTCTATGTGACATAATTACATGATTTATGGGTAGCAGGTAGAGATAAAAAGGTAGAAAAAGAAGTTAGCTGAAAAAAAAGGAAGCCATATTAAAAATCTGATAATTAAAAAAATTTAGGAAAGATTAAAATTAGTAAAACAATAATTATAATGCTCAAGTAGATTGATACCTAACAAAATTTACAATGTAGGTAAATGTAAGAAAAAATCTGAAAAGAAAAAAATCTAACTATTACATAATATTTTTAATAGACATATATTTCTGATATGTAATAGAATATTTACAAGATTTAAATCAAAACCAATCAAAATCAATAAATTAATTTTTTTATTTTCTTATAGTGCGACAGTATATTTTAGATACATATTTATAAGGTTATATAGAAGGAATACATTAAAAAAAGAGAAAGAAACTCACCGTATCAATGAATAATTTATTTTTTCTTTTTGCAGTGAAACAAGAGAATTTACAATGAGCAAAATAGAGAATTAATTGGAAAATACACAATTCCACTTATTTTACACAATTTCGCTTATTTTATTCGACATACTGAAAATCAATATAAAGGGAAAGCTGATTGAGGAATAAAATCTTAGTGAAAAATTTTTTTACAAAAATAGTAATACTCAAAATTAGGCATTCAAACATGATTCATATAAAAAAAAAGAAATTTTAATATTTTAAATTTACTAAAAAGCATTTATAGAGGCAACTGAAAATTTCAAAACAGCAACAAATTTTTTAAAATTATTTACAATTGGAGCCAAGTGATAATTAATGTTAGAGTATACTTTTGATGATTAGGAATTTATTTTAAAGGGAGAATGTCGATGAGAGGTAAAAAAATAGCTTCAAAATGACATTGTTGCCAAGCAACAAAATGGCTAAGCTCACACAAGAAAGTAAAAAGTTTTATTAATGCACTTACTCCTTCTTTCTCATTTTCCATCAGAACTTTCTTCAGGGCAACGATTTTTTGTGATGTCCGATGTCTGGCTTTAAAGACTTCCCTAAAATATTTTATAATGTAAGCAAGCATAATTGTAACATTAAATGGATGCTTTTAAAAAATAGATCTGTTGGGAGCTTTCCAGTTGCATTCATTTTCCAGTTCATCTGGTTATGATTTAATTGATAGTTTTTACACAAGTTTAAACTGTTGGAAGCCATTTTTAAAAGATACATTTTAAAAAAGTTCACAAAAATAAAGCCCTTTTTTATGCACTACAAATATATCAATAAGAATTTGTATAATTCATGCCTTTTATTTTTATTTTAACATAATGAAAATCCAAATTTTACAGCTTAATCATTAAATAATATTAATCAAAATTGCTAGGAGACATTATCATAGAGTATGTTTGTTAAGAGTAAAGACACTTATGAGAAATTATCTATTATCATATAGTATGTTTGTTAAGAGTAAAGACACTTATGAGAAATTATCTCAGGGTTGATACAAGTAAATGAGTTTGAAGAAGTGACAAAAAAATTTTTTTTTAAATGAATAGAAAAATAAGAAAGCACACAACCCATTAAACAGAACACATAGCAAATTTTACGAAGCAATGTAATATAGAAAATCCTAACTTTAAGGGAAAAAAATAATAATTATTATCTTCCATTACATTAAAAAAATAAATAAACCTATATGTTAACATAATTTTAAGAAAATTTTGTAAAGAAGCATCATAAAAAAAATTAAAAAATTCTCAGGGAAATTCTTCGAGATGAGAAAAAGGTAAGTTAAGGGATATTTCTAGACTTTTTAAAGAACACTTTTTCTTAATTTACATTAAAATTAAGTTTTTGTTCATTTGGATTATTGATAATTTAAAATTGAAACACAAATGTTCTTTTTTTAATTCCATCCACAAAAATAAAGTTTTAAAAGCAAAAATATATTTGAACGTAAGTTAAAATTTCTGATCTATAAAATAAAGAATTAATTTTAATACATTATGTGATTTTAGAACAAAAAATTAAATACAGATGATTCAGATAAAAAATATATGACTGAATATAGTTAAGTAGATTGTCAAGACATGGTTATTATTTCTAAATTTTCAAGGAGAAACAAACATTGAATATTTGTTTCTAATAAATCTCATAATGAACCTAATACAAAGGAAAAGAACATAAAATATTATGCTTAAATATATTGGCTGTTAAAGCATTTAATTTTAATTGTTAAGCTTCATAAAAAAAATCTATATAACTTGTACATTTTTTTAATAAAATAATTTCATTCGATTTTTAAATAATTACCAAAATAATTTATGATTAAAATATTTATGATAAAATAATATATAGGCAAATAGAAGGTATGTAATAAAATTACTGAATGAAAATCAAACCAGAAAGAAGAATGTCTAATCAATTTTATAATTATGCAAAAGATGTACACACATTGTTCACAAAATAAAACTAAATTAAGTTAGAATACAAGCTAAAGTAATAAACAAAATTAAATAGCAAAAATAAATAACTGTGTGTGATATGATATAATTACAATTCATTGTGTTACAAATTACAAAAAATGATTATGTAATTTAAAATATTTTACCCAAATGTGCCCTGTCCTATCTTCGCTAATCTCTCATATTTCGATACTTCTTCACAATAAGGGTAATCAGCACCAGCCAGTTTTTCCAGCAATTTGTCAAGCATATATTTCTCCCCTCTGAAAAAAATTAGGTTATTTAATAAAAATACATATTAACATAAAAGAAATTTTTTAACTCGCTAGTTTATAAGTAAGGTAGAAGCAATACAGATAAATTATATTTAAATGCAGACATGAGATTCTTCTGACTTTCAAACATTAAAAATTACAATTGAATTTTCTAGATAAAAAACAGTAAAAGAAAATGCTATGTTAAATGCTTGTTTTTGCTTAATATTTCTAGATTTTGTTGTTCTATTTCAATATTATTCTATTCCTATTGATAGATTGATTCATTAAAGCTTAGCAATTTGCAGGACTGTTAATATACACTATAGTAAAAAAAAAAAAAAAAAACTTTAAATAAGTATGTAACTATTTTAAATTTTTTCTTTAAAATAATTTAAAACACATTATTTATGTTTACTTAAAGTTTTAATTTTTTAATTAACAAGCTGTCTTGACTTCTTGTCTTTTTCCCCCTTTTAAGCCTGCAAAATGAGACCATTAATGAAAAAAGGTATGATTAAGACTAGTCAATTTTCCATACTAATTATAGTAAAATGTATTATAAAAATTCTCGAAAATAAAACGAACAATCTATTTCAAAAAATTCTAATATAAGCAACAAAGCATTGTCTAGCAGGGCTCGAAAAACCGCCCGTCCGCGGCGGTCAAAAATTCCCCGCGGACAACAAATTTCTTGAATCCAGCGTCCGCGCGGACGGCCATTTTCCTGTTAATGTTCGTGATACATTTTCAATTTTTGTTATCTTACAACAGTCTAGCTCCTCACTTCTAAAATGACCCTCTAATCTCGAAATGCAGCAACATTCTGGGCATGGTGGAATTGATTTTTTCTCTGTCTGGGAGTACTGCAGCGGTTGAAAGGGGCTTTTCAGCAATGAACTTACATTGAAAACAGTTTACCCAGATTNTATAAATGTTTGTAATAAATCAGAGAAAATTATATTTTTATTTATTTAGAAGCGACGGGTTATTTTCAAAGGAGGACGGGTACATTGTTGGACAAGCCGTCCTTGGGGACGGGTAAAATTTCTGAGTTTTTTTTAGCCCTGTTGTCTAGTCTATGCCCTTAGCATGCATCACATTATGCTTTACATGATTAATAAAATTGTAATTGCAATGGACACTAAACAAAAAAGCACTAAATGTATGAATTAGAAAAAAATTTAACTGAATCAAACAAGGAAAAAAAATATTTATTTCAAAATATAAAACAAAAGTTCCTTATGAACTTCTCTCGACTATTAAAATAATCTTCAAACCTGAATAAAAAGAGTAATTTTAACAAACTAGAACTTAAATTTGAAAAAAAAAATAATGCATGCAATCTAAATAATGTAACCCTTATTCTATCACAAAAGAGGTATAATAAAAAGGTTATAAAGTTTTGTTTGATGTCCATAACACATTGTAAGCCTTTCAGAAATTGTCTGTAACTATTATCAACATTCTTTTAGGTACTTTTAAAATGTCTTACTCAATTCCCTTATATGTTAATAACATCCTTATCAATGTTCAATACTCATATTTTAATAAGTTTCTTTAATAAGTCATTAAAAAAATAATTCATAATAAACCATTCTGAATATTTTACTTAAACTGAAAAAGACCATTTAAAAAATTACTCGGATAGGAGAAAAATTGAGTTAATAATTAAAATGCATCAAGTAGGTCAAAATAAAGTTCAACCTATTTTTCGACAACTGCAAAAATTTATTAGCCGAAATATTATTTATAAATGTTTGAAAACAGATAAAAAGACTTAAAAGACATCCACCTCAATTTTTAATTTTTTATATATCACCTACCTAATATACCAATTTAAAATCCTTTAAATTTCAATGAAATGGAATGAACCTTTCTAAATTTTTGAATAAAGTTGAGAAAAACTAACAAAAAAAATTTAGGCTGAAAACAAAGAAAAACGTATCTAGAATTAAGTTAATACATAATTAAAACACATCATGTAAGTCAAAACATGAGATGAACCTGATTTCTGACATAGTCACTATCACTGTAAAAACTTATTAGCTTCAGAATGATTTTAGTTGGTGCATTCAGATATAATATGAATACTTCCCCCATCCCTCTCTTTTCATATATTTCATCATTCATTCTATCAGTTCAAATTTAGAATCAACTGTCATATCACAACAGTTTTAAATGGATCCTCTTCATTGTTAGGTTCCAACAAAGAGAAAGGCATATTCATTCATATGAAATAAAGGAATATATTTTAATACACTCTTCCGTGCTAAATGCTATACAAATAGATATGAAAATATAATTAAATGATACAGATTAATACAAAATAGAGAGTTCGTTATATACAAGTGTAATGCAAATTAAATTACTTCTCTGGTGTCAATCGAGTAGACATTATAAATCAGTTCTAAAGTTATCGTCGAATTTATTAATAAAAATAAAGTTCCAAAATAATTAATAAAAAGATGATTAAAAATAGAGATTTAAATGGTTGTTTGTAAACAAATTATTTGATCGAGTTCAATTGATAACAATTTACGTTCTATTTCTGCTTGATTTGAGCCACGTAAAAATAAGAAACTTGATTTGCTTAAGGTCCGTTCTTACTGCGTTAAATTTTATATTATTTCATGCGAGTGCGAGCAGGATTGGGCAATTTTTCTCGGCTGAATATTTTTAACCAATTTGGTTCTCATTTTCGCTTGCAGCAAGCATTCGCATTCTGGAGCAAATACACTGCATGCGGCCCATATTGGGCTGATAGCTAAGACGTGGTCACCAGGAAATCAACCGAAGTCAAGCTTTTCTGGTTGCGGGTAACCACTTTGCATGCGAAGGGACCGAAGGTGTACAGTATCGGTGCTCGTTGAACTGATCTACCATGAAATGCTCAATTTCGCTCGTAGGTAATTGGACTACCAAATCAGAGGAGACACCCCCTCCAAAAGGATCAAAATTATGATGACATGTCTTCGGATCAACCTCATGGATGTTTCGCAGATCGTCGTCAATAACCCATTCTGCAGCTCTAGCACAACGGTAATAAACTACGGCACACTGCATGCAATTGCGAATGCTTAGCAAGTAAGACGAACTGCTATCGAATTGACGTGTGATCACTTTTATGAATTGCATACTGCATTTTGGTAACCAGTTAGTAACACACTTTCTGTAGATCATTCAGGTTGTGGATTAAGAACTGTGGATGGAATTGAGAATTTTGTAGTTGCATTAATCAATCCGAATGCAGTGCAGCCCCATCAAGATTACAATTCGTTGTAAATATGGACACTGCTTCAAATTATATTATGCTTCCCTCTAAACGAGCGGTTTCCAATTTTTTTGGTTATGAAACCCTAAACGATCAACCCTCGTGTAGCAGAATCCTTAACTAGCAATTGTTAACTTAGCTAAAGAAATATTATTAATCATTTTGAAGATATTAATTTGTCATCGTTTTATCAATATTTAAAGTTCGCAAAAAGTTCCACATGTTGTTTAAAAAATTACACATCTGATATAAAGAAGTCCTGAATTTTTGGTGTCCCTCGGAGGTCGCCCATCTCTACTCATTGTTGAGTTTTGTTATTCTCTTTAAATTGAAAATTTTATGGAATGTATTAGTGCAAATCTCTCATAAGTGCTAATCGCTTGAATAATTTATTCAATAAATTACTAGAAAAAATATTTTTTAAAATAGTAGTAGTAGTAGTTCATTTACGTCGCACTAGAGCTGCACAATGGGCAATTGGCGACGGTCTGGGAAACATCCCTGAGGATGATCCGAAGACATGCCGTAACAATTTTGATCCTCTGCAGAGGGGATGGCACCCCCGCTTCGGTTGCCCGACGACCTGCACGCGAAGTCAACCACTTTACGGTAGAACAGTTTAACGAGGACCAATGCCGCACACCCTCGGTCCCTATGCAGACTGATCCAAGTGTTCACCCACCCGTACACTGACCACAGCCAGTGATGCTTAACTTCGGTGATCTGCTGGGAGCCGTGTCTTAACGATCAGTTCACTGCGGGACTTTTAAAATAGTGAAAAAAAAATTTTTGCTGACATTTTATATAAGTAATTCTAAAAAAGTAACCAAAATAATAAATAAAATAATGGATTGTTTTGAGTGGATATAAATATAATAACAGGTTTCAAAAAATCATAAAAGTTTTTTTAAAAATTGTTTTAACTCTTGCAACCCTTTTACAGAACCCTAGGGTCCATACGCAGTTTGGGAACCGCTGTTCTAAAAACACAATCCAATGTTTATGACACATGTTCTAATATTTCACTATAATTCTCTAATATTTGAAACTTTTAAAAAAAATGAAGTATTATTTGTGAGAATTGTTAACTGAAAATTTAGCCTTTTAAGATACTTCACAACTTTTAAATTAGAAGGAGGATACAATACTTCTTTCTTGTCAGACTCACATAGATGTTTGTGCATGCACGAATAATTTTTACATTTAGTTCTAAAAGTTTTGCTCAGTCATAAAAAGAAATCGGGTGTAGTTAGATCAGTCATAGTCTGCACACATTTTTCTTGAAGGCATCATTTTGCTGCTCAACATGGTATTTATATTGTTCTACAGCTCCAATGAAAATTGTTTATACCATACAATACATTACTTCATTTGTTCAATAGAAAATACAGTTTATAAAGATGTGATAATTTCTAACTGAACTGAAGTTGTTAATTTCATAATTTGAATTATTTTAAAATATTAATTTGAATTAAATATAAATGTAATAGTAAATATGCAAAAAGTTATTCTTAAATAAAAACAAATTTAAAAAATAAATTTTTAAATCTAGAGAGTTCTAGGCATGTGTTCTTTTCCATGTATAATTTATTAACATAGTTATCAATGATCATTTGAAGGAATTTCGTCTCAACCTACTTAGTAAAAATACTTCATTATACATAATTAAGATCACTCAAATACGATATTAGGGAAAAACACCATAAGTCTAGAACCTTCCCTCCTCTCCTTAGCTTAGTTTTATGCGAATGTAATTTTAATTTTTCCATGTTACATTTGATACAAATTTTAAATAATAAACATATTTATAACTTTTGGTCTTCTATTATTAAGGGACAATAGTGACTTTCATGTGACAACAAAATTTAAAATTAATTGTTTATTGTGATTCAATTTAAAACTAAATTATACAAATAAATAACAATAAAAACGATTTTTAAAACTAATTATTTTATTGTTAGTTAACTTAAAACATATTATACAAATAATTTCTACATTTTGAGTGACTGGTATCCAGCATGACTAGCAACAGATTCTTTTACACTATAATACCATTTTCCAATATTTGTGTTGTCTAACAAGTCCTGAAACGCTAAGCAACCTTCAATGGAGTTGAGCATTCCATAGACAGCCTAAAAAAGAATAAAAACCATAACAATTAACATAGAATTTACTTTTCTTTTCCTCTTTTTTTTTTTTTTAAAAAAAAGGTGACAGTTACTGTATATATAACACAATGGAACTGAAATAAATCATATATATTTATCTGTCTTAATATTACTAGTAAAAAATTAATAGATTATTTATTAGTAATTGGTAACATTCCTAAGTGCAAGTATTGTTTTTGCAGTCATGAAACTAACATTTTGTAAATATAATTTATTTTATACCCAAGAAATAAAAATCCTTTTAAATTTCCTAAATGTTCAAATATTTAAATAATTGGAGTTACATCTTAAATCTGTTATATTTTTTCATACATATTCTATGTTGTATGATTGTATTACTGACTAATTTAGTTTATTGTACAGTTAAATTGGCAACAAAAAGAATTTCAATTGACCAGAAAAAACTGTTTAATAAAAATTTGTAACATCAATATTTCCAGTTTTAATGATCGAAAAAAAGAAGAAGAAAAAACAAACAACATAAGCTAGAATGATACAAACAAGAATACATTGGATTTAAATGCGACAATCATTAGAAATTGCTAAAAGAGCTTAATAGATGGGACTATTTTTATCTCTTAAAATAGAAATTTTTTTTCTCCTAAACTTAACACCACAAAATGCAAAATTATAGAAATATTCAGGTAAAATAAAGTAAGAACATACTAGGTAGAATAAATTATTCTTTCAAGTGACGAATTGTCTTGAAGAATTTAGTTAACAATAAAGATTGAAAATTTTAATAAATTTATAATGNCATTAGGTTGTATAAGCAAAAGAGCATTATTTTCTTCTATACTATGAAGTTTACGTTTTTCCCGCTTTCGATTAGCTTTCGCATTGAGTTGCGACTTTTTAGTAATGTTAGGTCTTTTCTTTTTAGGCATTACTTGTAAATAAACAAATCGAATTAAGATTTAAAACCAGATTAAACTTACGAATTAACGTTTTAGAAAACAAATAATCAGATTAATCAATATATCAATACGAAATAAGTTGAGATGTTGTAAAACTGAAGAATGAAATTCTAACTATTTTGTGATTGGTTGCATCTCTGAAAAAGAAAATTCAGACTTGTAAATCGCTTTTTTAAGCTTGCCGTTTTCAGACATGTGATTGGCTGTTGTGAACGGCGGTTATTCTTCATTATTAACTGCAAAATCGTGCTTTAAAACTAAAATAAATAAAAATTTAAAATTATGTAAAAGATTTGAATGCCCTAAATGTCTTCCCTGAAAGATTCTGAATGAATTGATTCCTTAATCTTAGATTTTCATCACGTAGTTAAAAAGTTTTTCAGGGGACAAAATTAACTGCAAAAATTTTTTTTTTAGAATAGAGAGATAACATTTCCTTTAAAGTGAATCTTTCAGAAGGAACCAACAGATTTTGCTTTAGATAGATTCCACAGTATTTAGAAATAAAAAATTACAAAACACGATTTTTTTAAAAAAATTCCTTGAGGTTTAAAATGCATCAGTTCTCATGAAAAAGTTAATACAACAGCATTTAACAAAAAGGAAAAAAATGGACTAGTGTCAATAAAAAGACTTAGTATGTAAAAAAAAAAAAGTGTTAGTGAGACAGATTACACTCTCAAAGTCGAATTTTGTGTGTAACATACAATGCATGTAAAATGAAGAAAAAATTTTTCTTTAAAATTGGGTTTCTGATTTCAAATTTTTTTTACAGATTCTAATCAATTAATCCAATTTGCAAGATAAATGCTATATTTATAAGCAATGTGCAAGTATGAAACTTAAAACAGATTAAAAACGAATTTGAATCTAAAAATTTTTCTTTAATTTTAACAAAATACTATTTTGTATACAGGGTGTTAATAATACTAATCATTACAACTTTAAAGTGTGATAAAACTTACAAACTAAACAAATTTCACCATAGAATGGGAGGACATAGAAAGAAAAACCCAAATAGAGCACCAGCTTAGTGAAACTACCTCATGGAAATTATCCAGCAGATGGATTTCAATGTTCAGGGTTCATCTCTTGGTTTATTTGACCTTCAAATTGTTCTTACTTTGACTTTTTCTAAAGATATCTAAAAAGGTTCCTTCACAATTGCTCACCCAACCATAACCAAGTACCTAGTTTAGCTTGACCCAGGTCTGACAACATGGAAAATACCTGATCTAGTACTCCTCTCCATAATTCACCCAGGTCAGACAACATGGAGAAAATGCCTGATCAAGTAATTCCCACCATAGCTAAGGAGAAGAGTTCCAACCACAACAGAGTTAAAGTGTATATAGCTGCGATACACAGATTGCTTAGTTGGCTGGCAAGATCCAACTCAATACCCTCGGCTCTCCATTAGCAGAGTGAGCGATGATTACCAACAGCAATGCCAGAGGGAATTACTACCTGTGGTCTGCATTAGTGATATAGCTGTAAATGCTAATAAAATGACACGAAATTATAATCTCTGCATGATTAACTTCATTCCGGATATGAAGCTTGTACTGCAACAGGTCATAGTTATTTTGTTGAAAAGATTTTTTAAACAATAACTTTGTTCTTTTCATTTCCCTATACTGTATTCTACCTTTTGATCAAACATGCTCCTCTTTGTGGCTCATAATTTGCTTTCTTACTCACATTGTAAGGTGAAATTAGTTCTGGTAAGTTTTAACATCAATTACAATTGTATCTATTAGTTTTATTACACCCTGCATGATAAAACACTTATTTTACTAAAAAAAAGGTATTGAAGATTACTGTTACTGAGAGCACTTATGTAATGATAGTATGCATGTATAAAATCTGTAAGTAGACAATTGCTATCAGTGTTAAAAATATAAAACATAGTTTGCATTTTAATTGGAATTTTTATATTTCTTAATTTTAAATCTTCCTTTAGTTGCATGGTCCCTTAAAATGAGAGAAAATGAGGAAAAAGTTATTTAAGGAAAAGAATGCACAGAAAGCAGATGTATAATATACTGCAAGTGTAGGATATTTTATTAAATACCAAATAATTAAATAAAATACACGAAATCTTATTATCTTTTTAATTAAAATCATAAAATATCTTACTAAGTCTGCCAGATTTGGTAAATCACCACCCATAAATTTTCTTTTATTTCCAACTCCTTTCATCCATGCTTTGCATGCATCATATAAAGATTCTCTAACATCATCTTTCAAGGCATACCTATATTAAAAGAATACAGAATTGAAAATGAAAAATAATAATCACCAGTATAGTGAAATGGGTCAACTAATAACAAGTATAATAATTTAATACATAAAGTCCTATATATATATATATATATATAGNACGGTTTTTACCGGTATTTACCATGGTTTTTTCCACCTGTGGCAAAATCTTGCCAACTCTGATATATATATATAAAGAAAAACACTATGCAAGAGTCGACACATATAGATAGAAGGATCTAAATACATGGTCTGGATCTACATTTCTGATAATCAGTCACTTTTAGGTAATATTCTTGATTTATATCATTAAATAAAAAAATGATTAAAAACATTTGTTGTGTTTATAAAAGACTTAAAATTATTAAAAGACAAGACTTAAACATATTAAAGTACAAGACTTAATCATTTAGTTTTTCTTCTTCAAAAAAGTCATTGATAAGCAGGAAATATTTTCAGAAATAACATTTATTCAGTGATCAGTTTTTCAATCAGATAAAATAGAATGATTTGAATAACTATTAATTTAACTTTCCAATTTCTTATGTACTAGGTTAGACTATCTGGAATCATGGATATTAAAAACATATACAAATATTTTAAAAACATTTTAATATGCAGATTAATCATTGTCAATGGTTAATTACTCACAAAATTAGTCTTGAATAAACTTTGAACAAATATTTTTTAACAAATTCAAGTGAATTGCTGTCAAACACAAGGTTAAATGGTAACTAAAAATTGGAAATTAAGTCAGGATAGAAATATGGACAGGTCTTTTTAATATAATTTTTTGGTTTTGTCAGATCCATATTATTAATTGTGTGAATTTGAAATTTTTCTTTACAGAAAAGTAATTTTTATTTGAAAATGGTTAAACATTTTTCAGCTAAAATACACATTTCAAGAAAGTAATCTGATTTTATCAAAAATTTGTGTACACAAAGCTTCCTCACTTACAATCTTTTAGGGACTGGAAGAAAAAAGTTACTCCACTTTAAAGTATGACAAAAATATGATTCATTTACAAGTAAACCTTCAAGACAATTAAAAATTTATTAAAAAAGCACTTTAAAATTTATTTAAAAAAACTATAATCAGATTTATTAATAATACTTGTTTAACATATTTAATACTTCAAACTCAAATAGTTAATATTAATTACAAACTAATCACTGAATAAATGAGATCATAGTTATTTTTATTTAAGGTGTACATCAGTATGAATTGTAAAACCAGTGAGCGAATTAATCAATTAGATGTCAAACGAAGAGTAAATCTATCTAGATTAGAAAATGTTGTAAAAAATTATAATTATTCTAAATTATTCTTGGCAGAATAATTCTTTCTTCACAAATTAAATGAACATAAAACTAAATGGGTAAAACTGAAATATTTACTTGATAGCACACAAAAACAGTAAATTATTTAACACACAACAAATTGCAAAATTGTGATTGAAAAGCTATGTACTAGTAAATCTTCTTTCTTAACTCCATTTAATCACTCTTTATTCTCTAGATAAAACTTTCCTTGTTAATGAAATTAGATTTTAAAATATATCTAAGCCTTTATTCCAATCAACCAATCTTAAATCTCAATCAACTTTTATCTCAAACAACCAATCTAAAATCAATTCTCAATTAAAAAAAAAAGAAGAAGAAAAAGAGAGATTTAAACCAATAATTCAAATAAATAAAAATAAATGAGATCTATAAATCTATATCTTATGTAAAGAGTAATCTTACTTTTTCTTTAATCTTTTCCCAATAAAATACATAGCTGTGGCTCCTACGTAAATGACAATGAATCTTTCAAAAGAAGAGAAATTTTTTCCCCATTCTCCAACTTCAGAAAAATAGTTAAAAGATTGAAGTGCTTCATCATATGTACGGTAGATGTTTGGAGAGAGAACATGCACAAATTCTGCATCAGCCCACTTCCGCCAATACTTTTCTTTTCTAGAAAAAAAAGAACAAATAATTGATACAATAAAAAAAAAAAGAAATGATTAAAAAATACAAAAGCCAAACAGAAATTGAAGGTGGAGTGAGAAGAGCTGGGATATAAATATTATAAGGTTTAAATCAGTTTGAAAATGGAACAAGATTTTGTTATGATTCTATAAACAATTAAAAAATAACATTTTGTTGAGATTTTAAGATTAAACACTTTTAAGGCAGATATAAGTTATGGTGAAATACTTATCTATAGCAGGGCTCAAAATTAATGAAGGTTTGATGATTCAGGATCATTAAAATTTAAAAAGGATCATTATAAAATACTAATCAGTATTACCCAGACAAGTAAGTAATGTGAAGGGATGGTATGCTCTTTTGATTTTTCAGGTCCACATTTTGGTTTGAGTTTTTTTTAAAAAATAATTTAAAATTAATTTGGCTAATTTAAATTTACTACAAAACACTAAGCTCTTGTGCTGGCTCTTAATTTTATTTCTGTCCTATCTACGTAGGTATAAATACTACGTATAAATACGTAAATAATTTATAATGCCTCAAAGTTTTAAATTAGATGTTCCTTACATTATTTGAAATACCATTCTTAAAAGTCAAAGTTTCTTTACACAGGGTGCGTAGTCAAATCTTTCAACAAAAAATAAGCACTCAAAAATATTGTTAAGCACTATATACATAACTAGTTTATGACAAAGAGCTCTTTTCTTGATTACATTAGCCACCATAAAAAGATGGAGATTTTCCAGTTCGATAGTGCAAGAATAATTCCCACTGAATTCAGTTCAATAGATGCACATGCGGATTCACAAATATTTTAACAAACATGTAAAATGATTGGCGTTTTCATACGCTACAGAACGAGTGTACGCCGAAATGCATTGTGTTTGAAAGAATTGTGAAAACCTTAAATAGAATAAAGTGAAATGTGCTTTTGAGTAATATGTGGCTAAAATCGTCGTGGTAAAAAAAAAAAAAAAACTCATTAACGAAAAGGGAAAAATTAAGCCCTTTTTTAAAAATGCTATGCACCCTGTTTACACTGCAAAGGATCAAGTATATATTTCTATTTGGATACCTTCACTTGTCAGTATTTTCAGGAATGACTTTGCTATTACTAAAACCACTCAAACTATAAGCAGTAATATCAAAACACCCCAATATACAAAATCGTTAATTAGATATACTGCATTTAAATTTCACAAATTTAAATAACAAACAAAACAATGTTAACATCTTTCTTGAAGGTAGTCTATCAAAATTTGAGTTAAACTAATTAGAATAACTAAAATGAGCAACATTAATATTTTCATCAAATAGAAGAAGGTATTAAAGATATAAATCAGATCAGACAGGAAAATTAATTCACAGAGTTTGAAACAATAATTAATATACAAATAATATATTAATCAGCTTTTAGATTACATTAAATATAATTATTTTCACCTAATATGTGAAAATTGTGTAAAAAAAAACCCTTTCACAATTATGCATATGCCATAACTAGGACTGGGCGATATTAGAAATTATATATCGTGATGCATCGTCAGTTTTGCATCGCGATATAGCGATGTGTCGCGATATAGTATTTTTGAATTTCATTTACTTGTAAGGCACAGAAAGTCAGATTTCTATCAAAACTTCATACTCAGATTGATGTTGCCAC